ACCCCTATTAACCCCTTTAAAGGTACCCCTAATTTTGGGAAACTCCTATTTATGTCAAGGTCACCGCGCGAAATTTCCCACAGAACGGGGCATGGTCAGTGGATCAGAGGTATGGTGTAGGGTTTAGGGGTTTAGGGTTTAGGTTTGAGGGTGGGGAGCATTGGCTTCTATTTGGGTATATATTGGGGTTATATAGGGATAATGGAAAAGAAAATGGAAACTACTATAATATATAGGGTTCTATAGGGGTTATATATTGGGTTTATTATGTTCAGGTTGCTTTAAAGGGTTCAAGTTCAAGGTTGTGAGATTCAGGATTTCAGCCTTGGAGCTGACTGCAGGGCAGTCGTCTGAGGACTCATACTGCTCATCTACGTCCTAGGTTTTCGAGAGTACTCGTTTTGCAAGCTGCTTTTGTCATTATTTGTTCTTCGAACACCTACATAAACAGGGTGGTGCAACTTGCGCGATGCCAAGGTCAGTGACGGCTGCCGAGTCACAGTCCAGTTGTCAAAGGCTGTTGACGTGACGGCTCTGCGGGTGGAGTGAGTATGAGGACTGCTTTCGGTCAATGTATGAGGACAACTATAGAGTCATATTTCAATGAAGTCGACGTACCCTCTTATACGCAGACTTCTTGTCAGGAACATCCAGAGAGACTAGATGAGGTCCACTCACTCCCCTTGAATTCGGGGGCAACCTGTGCAGACTGCGTTGCCCATCAGGGTATTTCTGACACTTAAGTGGCAGGAACGCCCATGCCGGGAAAGACCCCTTGAACCGAGTCCTGTCTTGACGGCAATGGTGGAGTGTCTGTGGTTCCTTTCCACTGTAAGGCCTCCTACGGTTTAAGATGCCCAACAGATTTTTTGGGTCTTGGCATTGTCCATATGGCATGGTTATAGCCATGGCTTTGAACAGCTTAAAGCGTCACACCCCGAACCTTTGGTATGCCGGCCCCTTATTAGTGGAACATGGGGAGCTGGTTCGCTTGCTAGCATGTTACAAGCAGAACTGGAGACCCTTTTTGGGAGTCAAGCAACAGTAGTTGGTCGTCAGGGTTCAGGAC